CCCTGCTTGTCTGGCTAAGATGCAGGCAGCACTAAAGCATTTTTGGAATGTTTTCCATTATTCATCAGACGCGGCCGCGACCATCATTGGACGCTTTGAAGTGCGTGAGTTACAACTCCTTCTGTGTCCTTCCTCCATGATGTAAACAAGTAAAGTCGGAAGAGACCCAAGAGGCCCACACGAGAGCAATAGAACTTGGAGGTAGCAAATAAGAGCAAAGGGTTGCTAATATTTGGCCTGACTGGGCTTGTACGTTTGATGACCTTCCAACATGTCCAACAATGACAGAGTACTTAGACTGAATTCGAAAAACTTACCCGTCCACTTGAAGACCACTTAAAGATCTGGTTGTTTTGGTGAGGTGTATGCACTGGTGTTAAACAGCCAACCATTGGCAAACTGATTATATGCCTCCAAAGACTTGTACGCCTGGAAGTTTTTCACGGTATATGGACTCGGTGTTGATATCCTATAGGACATTATGTCCATTGAATTAATCTATGGAAGACGATCGATGTCGCGTGATTTCTAAATGTTAGCAACCAAATGTGGGTTACTACCGACCTGGAGATCTTCTTCTATAACGGGCACGTTCTTCTGGTGATAAATTGATTGCATACTTTGACAAATCACTATTCGATGCCTGAACTGGAGCCGAATTTTGTGGAGCTTTGCTAGCAGCCATGGCAAACATAAGTGCAGTATGCACGTGAATACATATGCTTAAACTGATACGCGCTTCCAGCGCTGCTCAGCCGTATGTAGCATGGGACCAGCTAACCTCCAGAACGCTGCTTGTCTTCCAGAAGACGTTGCGGGGCAACAGGCCCGTGACCCCGACGGCTGTGCAAGTGCACTATACATGTACATGTACAAAATCTTAATGAGTAGACAGAGTTATTGGGACTGGTATCCAAAACAACATAAATATTCATTATGCCAATACACTGCGTCTGTTTTTGTCATATCCCTAACAGTTCCAAATCCTCCAATTTCAACACAATTTTACATACACTTTTCAAAACCCCATAGTGTCACCATGTAAGCCGAGTGTGCTCAAAAGTCACACGGGTTATAGACCCGTAAACAGGGCCTGACAAATACTCGACAAAAAAGCAACATTTTTTCCTCTAAACGAGGAAAAGACGAGTTTTCTACAATTAGCAACCTAGCAGATAGTTTACACCGTAAGTAGTGAACATAGGCCTACCAGTGCAATTTCAGCTCATAAAATCAAGCGGATGTTTAGTTATGCCCCCAGATATCCCGGATAAATTTTGCAAAAGAAATCCCTATGAATCGGGACAGGGCCCAGTACACGACGGAGGAGTATTCGTCGGGCCCTGTTTACGGGTTAGTGACTTTGAGTTCTCGAAGTAGCCCATGATGTAGGCCCTACCTCTAAATTTCTGCTCAATTTCTTCAAGTGTTGGTTCAGTTTTCCTCTGTCCCTCGGATGATCGGGTGGACAGGAGACTGCTGGATCAGTACACTCCGGACACGGTGTCTGTCAGCGGAAATCAGTGGAAAAATACCTTTTCCTCCCTACACGACTTAGTACATGTACATACACAGCACCGTACATGTACATTTGTACAGTACAGTGTATAATGGCTACACTACAAATACAGGTCAGAAAGAGTGCGCCACCACGTGGTACATGTGCGTCATTTGAGGGTAGAGACCAAAGATAGCGCGGCGTTATACTATCTTTGGTAGAGACCATAGACAATTATAAGAAAACTTTTATGTCTATGGTAGAGACTAGCTCATCACGACCCGAGCAGAAGATACCTTACTAAAATCGTCTGTCTCTGTCAAGGAATCCAACAACTGAGGAAAATTGTGCCTAATCCAAAGCTCCGTATAAAACTGACAGGTGTAGCCTTTAGGCTGGGGACAATATGGTGATGCGTTTTGAATCAGTGACTAACACCGTCAGAACACAGTTAACTGCAGAAGTGCTAGATTCCCGTAATGCTAGTGTAACGGGGGGAAATGGCACATTGTGAGGGAACCCATAAAACAACAGAACAAACTCTAACTAAACCAAGGGTCTTGAGGGAAAAGTAGCAGAAAACTGGCTTACAAAAGCACCTGTGTAAGAAGTTGCCAGCTCTGCCACACGAGCACCACTGTACTGTATTCGAACGTTTAATTCACTGTTTCATTTTAAGACCGATTCATACTTGTTGAGCAAGCATCAGTGAACACGAAGTTATGACGTCAGATCAAATATTATTATTTGTTTTGCAAATCCGTAACAATTGAACACATTTCAACTCGAGCGAAACTTAACTGCAAAGGATTGAATGCTGCTTCATACTGTGGGTATGTTGTGCCCCAGACTTACACTGTGTCCGGATGAGACGCAATTAGGCGTACTCTGACTTCATTAAACAAATAAACCCCATGCTCTCTGGTATTAAAGGCAGCCATTTATGTACCGTGAAGGTCGACAGAGCGCAGTACGGGAAACAACTGCCGTTTACAACTATTGGGAAACAGCATAATGCACTTTAAAAAAATAACAAAATAAGGCTATCTAAAACTTATGGGTTACAAGGTCTGCATAAAAGTGCATTAGACACGCTTCGGTGTACTGATGTCAAGCTATAAGGTTAACGCAGACGACATGTTCGTTTACCCGCAGTTGACAAGGTTTTTTTTTTCTGTGGCTTATAGGACCTACTCTCAAGGAAGTTTCGGGAAAGGTTTATATCTGTATTGACCCATATGCACAAAAATTAAATTATGTCGCCACCAGCCATTTAGACAATGTTATACATTTCAAAAAAGAAATTTTTTTCAGCTACTGGCCCGTAGTGAGAGTATAAACACATAGAAACATTTATGCACGATGGGAAGGCCAGCGTAGTTCCCGGAAGCGCGCCATCAGGGGTCATCTTTCAGGCTCTATACGTGAACTTCATTATGCACAGTCTTTGTGGAATTATATACATTCATACATCAGACAACACTTCTGTTTCTTGTCAAGAGGATAATCTCCGAACTAGTAATAAAATAAGAGTAGAGCCCATGCATGTATGAGACATCTGCAGTGCATGGATGGATGGAAGCGCTGGACTGTAGGTGTCAGCCAAGCCATAAACAGGATTACAATGGACATTGCGGATGACACAATAAATGGTTGAACATAGTTACATGCAGTTGCATTGTGGGATTTGTAATTTTCGTTTTACGTTAGCGTTGAAACAAGTGCGTTCCAAGTCCTTTTGGCAATTCAGCCAACTATATGAATACAAATAAGCAGTGCATGGTAACCATGTACGGCGATCTAGGCGGGGTCTGCGTTTCTTTGTGCTTTTGGTGAACCGAATTCGAATGCGCGCACTACACCTCAGAGTTAAAAATAACGTCACAGTTCAGTAAATTTAGTTTAGGTTGCACTTTTTGGGCAGTGCATAATGAAAAAAAGGCAATTTACATTAGCAGTACCCATTTGGCCACTCAAATTCGTCATATCTTCAATGTAGGATGTGTTGAAAATGACACTGTCCCGTATGGAAACGAATTTGAACTCCTGAAATCTACTGTGCACCAAAGGAGTCAAAACAAAGAGCAAATTTTGCTTTAAATCAGCCACCTGGATAGGAATTTCAGTGCTATTCCTACGGATTTGAACGGCAAAAACCTACATAAGAAGACATGTCTACTCTGTCTCCACCGTGTTCTCCAATTTGTGTTCTGTTTTTGTTTGTTTTCATTTAAATGACCTGTTCAAGAAAACAACAGCGGCGCTTGAGGAGGGCAACGTGATGCTGTATGCTGTGCATTTCTGGTCAACATAACCTTTTTCTCATGTGATGATGGCTAAGTCCTCGGCCTCCCTCCCGAAAACAAACCACAAAATAAACAGAAAAATGCAAGAATATCATTTCCGGAGAAAACTGACCATTTTCTTATTAACTAACCCACTCGAAAGCGATAATGTTAACCTGTTTTTGTGTGTGTCTGTTTTTAATTTTGTTTTGACCTATTGTCTACGGTCTCGTTTTAGCAATGTTTTCACTCAGGTTTTGTCAGTAAATATGACGTTCAAACTGTCTATGTGTCTGGTTTCGATGAGCCAACACTGAAAAAAAAAATGATCAATAAAATGATCGTAATTTTACACACTCTCAGGGAAAATTTTACCAAATAAAATTCATTCACATATTGAGTAAATTTTATTGAAAACCGACATGCGGCATACGGAAGTGTGAGAATCTTTTCTGTGAGCACAAAGTGAGCGCAGTTTTAAATGAGCGACCAAACTAACTTACTGCCGTTTTTAAAACAGACACTTATTAATCAGGTTTTTAAAAAATGAGTTAACATCCAACCTGAGTAAAAGATTTACATTTAACTACTACTTTCCGGCATGAAAAGTCAGTTTTAACTGAGAACGGGTAACTTTATTTTGTAGACAAAGTTTCTTTCATTGCGTTGACTTTGAATTCCCTTATTTGTAACTTCATTCAACAGAAACGTCAGTACTCTGCTTCTCACTTTGGTTTTTCATCTCTGCCCCGAAGAAGAATTATGTCACTCATATCACATCGTCTGAGACACGATTTCGGTTCAGTGCGTCTTTAAATCCGACAAATACAAATCATGGCTGTCTGGGAGATTTTTCCAGTGAAAGTTGCATGGGGAAAATGCACGATAAATTCAGTTTTTGAAACCAGTTTTGCCAACAATTTACATTTCAGACAGTCCCAACTTCGAGATAGTGAAGTTTCATATACAAAGCCTGATAGGCTAGATAGACAGTCATAAATTTCTTACTAAGCCTATACAGGCTTAAAGTTAAGCATTATAAAATACAACTTGAGAAACTTTCTGAAACTAAAAAAGTGCAACTCACATTGCCTTCTGTTCCTTCTTCCAAACTTGATGTTGATCTCCAGTAATTCACTGCTGCGTTAACCTCAACCATTATTCTTTCCAAATTTATCCATTCCAAGTGTAGAATTCAGTTTTTCTTCGAAATCTGACGATTGAAGCACAAAAACCTCAACTGGTTTTTGAAAAACTCCGTTTGAAAGTACACGCAACGAAATTCGCAACGATTGTTATTTACCCTCCTGAAAACACGCATACGCGGGACGCGTTTTGGACGCGATGTCCTATCCAGTCTATAATGGAGATAAATGGTCTACCCTTTCCAAGCGCGCATTGGGTTGACAGATTTCGCACACTGAGATTGGCCAACGCGTTGCAAGCTCTTGGAGGCGCACTACAGTGAAACGTCCGTATTGTGACATCAGTATTCGCGGTTCGTGATGTCTCTTTAAGGCCACCATACTTGTGACATTTGAAAACGCTTTTGCCCAAAAAATATTCATTGTATTTAGATGGAGCTGCTCTAGGCATTTACTTCGACAGCGGGATATATGGAGATGCATTAGACCATCTTTAAACAACCAACTCTCGTTTGCCATAGGCTTATCAGTTTAATTAATCATTTAAGAGTCGTAATGCAATGATGTTTTAACGACTGAAACGTAGGGGCGTGCAATATTGCTAATGATCCGAGGTCATGAAAAATTGACGTTTCCATGGGGAGGATTCCATCAAAGCTCCAGCATCACTCATGGCTGACTCCACTCAAGTATATGCGCAGCACAGGGTGGGGGCAGGGGTGGGTGAAAAAATAATTTCTACACCCCTAAACATTCTTCCTAACTTTAAAGTTATCCCGAGATGCTTGGATTTATGTTTTGGGGCATCTAAAATGTTCCGATTGCAGGTTTCGATGTCTTCGCCTACAATTTCCTGGAGAAGCATGGCCCGGACCCCCCTCAGATCCCTGTAGTCTGGGGATCATTGAAGTCATTGCACTTCCTTCTAATAATGCTGGTTACGCTTCTGAAACTGAATATGACAACAGGCTGCCGTCACAAGATTGGAGACTGTATACACCCCAGTGCTTCAAAGGAGAGCTAGCTGAGTTTTACCCGAGTGAGCTTAGCCTTGTAAGAAAGGAGAAACCATTCGTTAGTTCTTGTTGGAACGGTACTTTTAAAATCCAGTTATTTAGTATCGATCCTTGAGAACAACTACTCGTCGCTTTGAGCGGTCCTAACATGGGATTTCCCAGTAAGATTCGGACAGACATTCTTTTCATCGTGGCATTTTGTTGCTCTCCGGCCTTCGGCTCAATCCCCTGTCACCCCACCTGGGAGACATTTCAGGGCACTGCGTACTACATGCACTCGGTCAACCTGACCTGGGCCCTAGCTAAAGCATCCTGCCAGCGAATGTCAAGCAACCTGCTGATGCCGAAGTCATCGGAGGAGAACACATTCATCTGGTCCCTCTTGAAGAAACGCTTAGTGTCTGAGGCTTGGCTCGACTGCAGTGACACGGTTAAAGAAGGCGTGTGGTTGTGTGAAAATGGCATACAACTTTCCTACCTTCAATACATAAACGCAGCAGTACAAAATGGAAACAGCCAAGAAGCTGATTGCGGGATGATGAAGGCCGCGGACGGAAAGTGGTACGCTGCATCGTGCAACAAGGAAACAACTGCCGTGTGCGAGGGTGAAGTGACCGGCCACTATGCCAGCCTTGCCATGTATTGCGTGACCATTG